AAGGAGCTACGTCACGGTCAGCGTTAATGTTTCAAGTTTGCAATCCGTTTTAATCTTCGCCATCCTCAACTATCCCAATGGTTTCAAACCATAGACAAACATAAAACAAATACTAGGAAGCCACAAAGAAGTGTGGATGGTCAAAATTGGACAAGATTGAAACGGATTGCGAAAAAGGTTAACTTGAAAAATGACGCCCCGACGTTTTTCAAGTTTAAGTCTTTTGTATAAATAATGCTTAGAAATCACCTGTGTTTGTTATGTAAGTGAGATTCCGTCTTTGAATTAATATTTCATTCACATGTTTGAATTTAGAGCTCGTAAAAAAAGAATACAGGGAAGAATAGCATAAGTAGCGTGACACATAGCTCCTTTATATACAGCAGTTCTTGTGTAATGTACATATATAATCAGCCTTCAATCCTAGACTACGAGAAGTCCCTCTTTTCCCTTTTAATTTCGCGCAGCCATTTTTAATTCTCGCTTTTCGCTGGACGAACTAAGGGAAAAGTGAGACTACTCGTTGTCTTCTTCAAACCAGGTATAAGGATAAATATTTTAATTAATCTCGGTTTTCTGTTGTGTGAAAGAAAGAGAAAGAAATAACACTAAAACTGGATGACTTTTGTCAATTACCTGTGTCAGTGCTTTTATTTTGTGAGTGAGTATAACTGTACATGGTTCAGTCGGGGGAACAAATCGTCGTTGAAGCAATCGAAGAACTTCCGACGGCAACGCGAGGAAAATCGTCGCTTTAAAAAGTGAATTCACGTTACTATAAAACTATTTCGCGATTATTCCAACACATTCAATTTGTCCAATGTGGCCGAACTGTCCAGGAGCTGAATTCGCAGGGACGGAGTTCAAGTCCAGATAGAGAAAGGAAAATTTACCATCGTGTGTTCATGTTTTCCACATGCAATACCGTGAATTTGGTCATTTGACGTTTTTATTTTGCATAGGACGGCAAAGAAATGTACCAAAAATGTAAAAAACGCACGTGCAGCTAAGAGCAATTGTACTACTAATTAAACCTATTCTTAATTGTGACGTTCTCGTTGCCCAGCAACTTCGGGGACGAACACCGCGGGCCTCAGTTCCTTCTCGGAGGCAGGATGTCACCATCAACTGACACTAGTTCTCCAGCGGGTAGGTAATAATGGACCATTTTAAAATTATAAGTAACTGTACAATCCCGGAGTCCTTTTCAATAGGCCATTCCCAAGTTGCCTTTTTTGTCTCTGTTCCAAAACGAGTCCTGATGCACAACAATTCAAATGAAAATAAGTTTGATTTGCATTTGAATGAACTTGCGAGTAAAACTCCTTTTCATATGAAAGGTTGTGCACCAGGCCTCATTTTGAAACAGAGGCAAAAGTCAACATGGAAATGGTCTACCAGGACCAAGTAACATTGCGCGTCATGTCTGTCTGTTAAACTTCGCTTGGAGAAACGAATATAAGAAACCATTTACAATAATAAGACTTCAGGCTCTCCGGTTGGAATTCGTCTTCCGTCTGTTTCTATTTATTTATACACCACGCAGTTTCATTGGTAGAAAAAGAGCGTTTGTTATTGATCGAGAGCTCAGAGGACATGTTTACCACGGAGGACGCAACTGCGGAACTGCCACGCTACAAATCTATCCCAACGTCGCCATCTTGGATTTCGACGTCAGAAAACCTGGGAACGAGGTTGAATGTCGGTTGAATCTATCCTGCTTCACTGATACCCAGGACTCTTTTATCGTGCACACGAAAAGAGAGTTGGGAACGAGAGTAACTTCTTTACACGTAAGTCGCTCTGTCGTAACGTTCGCTTTCAATCTTATCACTTGCATTGCAATTAAACTCGGTTAATTTCCTTTTCTTTTGAGTCCATTTCCTCCGATTCTTGCGGACGGTCCGAAAAACACGAACAGAACTTTCTACGAAGCTGTTTAGCAGATCTTTTCTCGATGAACGCGGCTAGCGCAGATAGCACACTAGACACGACGCACAGACCAAGCATGGTCCAGACGATGTGAAACGCTATGTTCGCTGTGCGAAAGCCCTACATTTTTTAACTTCCCATCGTGCGTGTTGGAGGAATGGCCTGGTACATAGTCACCATACCCGATAGTCGTAAAAGTGATGAACCAAAAATAAAATCCCTCAATAAATGACCATTCAACAGTATACATTTGCATGGTGGCTCCGAGTAGCAGCATTGTTATCATTAGTACGCATGTCACTGTGGTACACTTGGCTTCCACGTGGGTTGGTGCTCGTTTGAAGCATTTACGTTCGATACTTGCTATGACAGAGCTGATGCCGCGACTTATAAGCTCACCGACTGATTTAAATGCGAGGATAGTAATAGGAAGGGCCCAGAACTGAAAATACGATGCACAGGGCCTGACCAAGAGTAGTGGAGGGCGCCAGGGTGCCATATCCTAAAAAAAATGCGAATGAGATCAATATATATACGCCTGGAACCCGAAAACGGGTATTCGCACAGGAATACAGAATACATGAAGCACGAATGAGATCAATAATATTCTGTCAGGAGGCCATTAATGGGCTCCTAATTCTGTCTATTTATTTATTTATTTATTTTATTCTTTTACTTGTTTGTTTGCGTTCTTGTTTGTTTCTTTTTTCCTTTGTAAACTCGTGAATGCGAAAGCATTGAACGGGCTATAGCATTTGGTGGACAAATTGCCACTCGATTCGCTCTAGCGCTATTGTATATTAGTAAAAATCTACTAGTATACCAATGCAAATGAGACAATCTGATTGGCTGAGCTACTCGTATACTATCAGCCATTAGTGTGCAGTGGCTGGAAGTCGTCTACAAAATTGCGGTTTCTTCTCGTTTCTCCGAAGTTTCGGAGGAGGATTTAGAGTTATTACCGCCGACAATTGTTATGATTTTTACTAAAACAATTAGATTATGAGCTCGAGATTTCTATGATGTGATAGTTGATGAGGCCTGCGGCCTCATCAACTATCACATCATAGAAATCTCGAGCTCATAATCTAATTGTTAATTAGTTTATTCAATTACGAGTCAGCTCATAGGTACTCTTTGATTTTGTTTATTTGTTTTTTATTACTTTGTTTGTTTGTTTATTTATTTATTTATGTGCTTGTTTGTCTGTAGAAATAATAACACACGTAAAACCTCAACGCCATCTGTTGTGGATGTAAACGTACTGATGTTTTATCAAGAGCATGGTTTGCAAACTATGCTCTTAAATGTCTGCGCTGCATAATTTAGGAGTCATTTTAAGCATGACGTGATCCTCCTACTGACTTCACCCGTGAAGGAATGAATTGATATGCATAAATTAATAGCGCGATTAAAGTTTACAGCCCATCGACCGATCGAGTGAAATTTGTCCACCAAATGCTATAGCTCGTTCACTTCTTTCGCATTCACGAGTTAAAAATGAACGCCAAGCAACTCCGCTGAACATCATTGCGGATATTTTCAATGGTTTTAAATGCCTTAAATGATTTTATGCTGAAAATTTCGTCAAATTTTGCCCTTTTCCACCCCTGTACAAGTTGACAAAACACTTAGAATTGACACATAAGTACATTTTTCCATTTTCCAACATTGAAAGGGGAGAAAGGGGGTGTAGACAAGTGTTTAGTGACTTTAGTAGTTATGGTCATAATTTCACGTTTTTCATGCGTTTCAACAAAATTTGACGGGGCTAGCTTGCACATAAACACAATGGACACTTAAATGTAGCTTACCTATAGTAGTCAGTGTTTCAAAGGCATACCGCAGCCCGTCAAAATAACCCCACTCGGGCCCATCCAAACTATATGCTTGGTTGATAACTGAGTAAAGTTGTCAAAGTCTACTTGGCTCATATTGTATTTATCTTGCATTTCTTGCTTTAGGCTGTCCAGGAGTTCTTCTTTGGTCTTTGATTTATTCTCCGCATTGGGACGCTCCACTGAGGAGAAAATGAGCCCCCCTAATGATGTAACTAATATAAAGGCGATTACACGGAATGAAGCTTTCTTCAGCAACGGGCCCGTAGTTTGCAAACAGCCGCACATACTGGCGGAGATGTCTGAAAGAAAGCGTATTCGTGCATTACAATTAGGTACGTTGCTGGGCAGGGTCCTGGGTGACTCCCATGTAAAAGTGACTGGGGTGAGGTGGGTGTGGCTCTGGGTGTGGCTCGAATTTATTTTCACCCTAAGAGGTAGCAATTCTATAACAAAACTAGTCCCTACCCATTTCGTTTTTTTTTGGATTAATTCCCTAACATGACCTGGCCCAGTTGTTCAAAGGGTGGATAACGCTATCCACCGGATAAGTCACTATCCAGTGGATAAGTGTTGACAAAAAAAACTACGCCATCCGATGGATAGCAATTTATCCTGTGGATAGCGTTATCCACCCTTTGAACAACTGGGCCCTGGAAGAATAACTCTAACGGTAGACATATTAGATTAAACACCCTAAGCGGTACCAAACCATGAATTTTAACCCGCCAAAAGGTACGACGATCACCCCGTCCCTTTTATATGGAAGTCTCCCCCCAGAGGAGGAGGATGGGGGGGGGGGGGGGGAGGGGGGGCAGGGCACGGTAGTTCGTAGGCAGGAAGGAAGGAGGAAACTGGGAAAGAGCCTGTTCATAGGTTTCATTAAACGTTTATATTCAAGTTAAACTTAGGCTAAGCTATTCCGCGCGTTTCTTTCTGTTAATTTTAACTACAGAACTTTAAGTTCATAAATACAAGCTAATATATGTTGTTTGCATAGGTTTGTTTAGTTCCCGCTTCGACTTCGATTCCTCTATGCTAACGGCTTCTAGCCTGCTTCGACCCGGCTTACGTCTCCAATTTCCGATGGCCTCAACCGACTCCGCTCTGCTCCGATCGCGATTCCGACTCCGAAGATAGTGAAAAATCCTAAGTGCCGATTTTCGTTCTCAAGTTACAAAAACACTTTTCTTTTTTTAAACCTAGTAATATGGCGTAAGCTCCCACTAGTCTCCTGCAGCTCAGTGGTAGAGCGTCCGACCGGTGTGCGGAGGGTCACAGGCTCGACTCTTGTTGGGAGAACTAACTCTGAATTTTTTTTTCCGAGTAGCTTGTGTTTCTGAAATGAATAATATCTTTCTCAAAACAATTTTCGCTCTGAAAATTCGAAAACGACAAAATTCACTTTAGTTCTAGTACCGTTGGCCGCTTCTTGTAATTTTGCAAGAACAGATTTCGTAAAAACCCAACGTCATTCGTTTTATTCTCTAGGCTACTACAAATGTAAATTGATAATTCGTTAAATTTTGGGCTGATACGACATAACCTTCGGGATTCTATTATTAATGAGAAAGAATGTTTTCAAACGGATCCCTGTCTTTTATTACCCGTACGGTCAGTTCCTATATTATTTTGTATCGCCCGATCAGTCAGTCAATACACGCCTCAGGCATACAACATGTGCGTGTTCGTTCGCATATATGCTGCATTATACTGATAGGTCTTATAATACGCATAACGAATGTATATCTCTGAGAACTATATATTAAAGAGGTTATTCAGCGGAAATTGTGTAATACGGCTGGGTATTTTTACGAGTCAGTTTGTATTTTTCGAGCCTTTAGGCGAGAAAAAATAAACACTGACGAGTAAAATGCCCAGCCGTATTACACAACTTTCCGCTGAATAAATTGTTTATTATACGACATAATATCTTTCCTAAAATATAGGCTTTCAACAGTGTTTTCCGTAGCGCGTGGTCAGGGGGACTAAGACCCGTTGAATACGGTCTCATATTTGTTCTCGTCTTTGTGCGTATTCGCACTCTAAAATGCTATGTCGTATAATATAAGCTAATTAATTATGAGACATCAACGGCAATTATTTTTCCTCTATCGATGTAAACATACCTTTATAATTCCAGACGAAATTATGTCAAAGCAACCTGACAACACGAGGTAAGTTGTTTTCTAGACGGGCTTTCGTTCTGGCATAATACAGATGTAAATAAACCCTTTCCATTGAGTGATTACAATTTGTGACTTTTTTTTCTCGCCACTCAGTTTTCCATTAGACGTTGTAGACATTTAGCAGGTGATCCTTTATTCCTTTGTTTTAATGTCTGTACGTAAATGACATATTGACATTTTAGTTTTAAATATTAGCGAATGAGAGTAAACTGTTTGTATATAAATACATCTTTTGCATAAAAAACAAAATTTCGATTCAAAACATGGTATTGCACAAGTCAAAGCAAAATTTTGAAATAATCGATTTCTCAGTTAATTATTTCTCAGATCAGCATAATTTGACGCGGTTCTCTAAATTATTTCTGCTAGGAATTTGATACAATACATCATCCTTTCTTGTACAATATTATTCTGATGTTGCAACCCCAAATAGTATGATTTTAAAAAGGAGCTGCGTCACGTTTGTGAATCTTAAAAAATTTAGCCTTAGAAATGTTTGAAATCCGTCTTAATCTTCTCCATCCTTAACCATCCTTGTTCCTGTTTGGTTTCTTATTACCATTTTGGTGTTTTCTACCTTAATAAACAATTGTTTTTAGGTTTACTTCAATTTGAAGATAAATTTGTACATCGTAAAAATGACTTAAATATTGTGGCAAAGCTTCGTTAAAAACACCTTCTTTATCAAGGACGGATAAAAATTAAAATTGTTAAAAGTACTGAAAGGCAGGAAACTGATTTTAGACCAAAGATCGAAAGATTCATTTTCCTCACTGCTAAACATCATCGTCTTATGGTCTGAGTCATCAGTTATAACGGTCAGATGTACAGCAAGACAATACATGCCGAAGCTCGGCACCTGTCTCCTTGACAATGTATTGATATTGTAAGGAGATATAAGATGTTGATCACTCTTGGAAAACGACGACTTTTAAGAGAATCGTTTGAAAAGAGATCTTTACTTCTTATAATAATTAATGAGCTGAATGAAATGAAATGAAAAGGACTAGAGCTGATAATTATAAACGGCAAAAAATAAATTAGCTGACAACTGATCGATAAATGTGCCAATGTTTTATCTGATAGCTAATATGATTTATATCCTCCTCAAACCCGCATCAGTACAGACGCTTATGTTTTGTCAAAAAATCCAGATACTTTCAAATGACATTTAAGAGTCAACTTATTTATATTCGTTTGATATTTGCCAGAGTTCACAGTTAGAAAAAGTTTATCCTAAAACCATACGTCTTTCTCAAAAGATTGATAGGCGATAAACAGACAAAGTGATATACGAAAATACTACTTTAAAAGAAATGATGTTTTTGAAAACCTGTCAACATCTGTTCACATTGACTAAAAAAAAGAAATATTTTTTCAATACAAATATAAAAAAAATTTTCGCTGTGAATTTCAGTTTAGTTCGAAACTGATATAATTTGTGATTTAACCCAACTTTGGGATCCAAAAAATATTGTGTATATACTCCCGTGACAGTTCAATATTCAAATTTCCATTGGACATTATTAAATAGCCTGCGAGCTTTCCCGCCTCCCCACCCCCCACCCCCCAAAAAACCCCAGAGAGCTTGCTCGCAGGCTAATTATTAAAAAGCGGTGCGTCTATGATAACCTTTTGCATTAAATTGCTTGTTTTTGTTTGTATTCCAGCTCAAAACGACGCCATCTGCTAGCCTCGCATAATGATGTCGCCATTAACAAAGAAAAATATATAAACACGAATCGCAAATCGCGCGCACGTTGTCGCCGGAATTCATATTTTATTGTAAAACTGAGTTACGGGAATTACAGAATTTAAAAGCTGTATCGATTCTATCCGGTTATTGACGTGCAAATCGTTTATTTTTTAAGGATTATCCAGATAAAATTTGATCAGGCGACATATCTTTTTAAACAACAGAAAATACATAGCTTTTCCTTTTAAATTTACATGCGGTATTCAGTTATTAAGCTGGGCAAGCAAGCTATCTTTCAATATGCAGTAGAATTCGCATTCTATCAACAGCATAAAAAACACGTTTTTTGGTTAGGTATGTTGTTGTATTCTAACTAGCAGTTTTGGCCCGTAAATTAACCAGTGCGAGTATCATTTGCGCAGTATCTGGGAGATTTTCGTTTTCGTACAAACATGCATCCTAAAGTATAATTTATTTCAGACACCCTTGCACTGGAAAGAAAGAAAGCCATTTATCCGTTTGATGTATCCTTTTAAAATTAAGTTAGAGCAAAATATATCTATAACAATTATATTTCGCATCCAGTTAAATAGCAAGCGACACTCGCTTCTGAGTGCTACAGAGAAGCGACTTAACCTCCATGCAATCGACTTAACTTACCGTTCAAATACACAACAACGACAAAAGCAAGGTATTGACACAGTTGGCGGCGATTTGTAAAAGCGTTTTCATTCAATAGTCCGCTCTGTGGAGGCTTTTTCTTGTAATTCTTTGTTCACCAATAAACTCGCAATACGACCTCTTCAAACTTGTCAATGATATCCGTTATATTGCATCGCCAAGGGCCTGGATGGTGATGGGAAATGCGATGACAAGATCAAACAGGATGCCGACAGCTGTCACAATTGAGCAAGCTCAAGGCCGGCTATCTACTAATGGAAAAATGCTTTCGATGTGTCTTATAATAACGAAAACCCACGGGAAGGGCTCCATCAACCACCCCCCCCCCCCCCCCCCCCTCCTCCCTTGTACGGCCGTGGGGGTATGACTTTGGATGTTCGTCTGAGGGTTAATATACTCTGAATATCATCAAAACTATACTTTTGAGATTTATGGGCTGGCTAAGCATGCCTGCTCTCGATTTGAAATAAAAAAAGGTTATCTCCATCTACAAGTTTTTTAGGCTGAACTTTTAGTGCACCAACATAAGAGGTTGTCTTTTGAATTTTTGTCAAGTTACGGTATTTTATCTTACCTAAAATCCATAATATTCAGTTTTGCTTTTCAAAGCAACCAAAAATGCAAAAGTAAACTGAAAAACACCTTTTTGGGGTGCAATATTGTTGTTTGGTACCACTTAGGGTGTTAAAATCTAAAATGAACGCCATTAGATTTATCCTGGTACCTTCTAGGATACTGAAGCCGGAATAAATGTGTGTCAGGAATTAGTTCTGTTTTAGAATTGGTACCTCTTAGGGTGAAAATGGAGTTGAGCCACACACGCAAATTTTGATACCTTTTAAGGCCCGTTTACACATGCGATTTTTTGATGCGATTTGTCGCGGCGATTTATCGCGCGAGTTTTGAACTTGCTCGAATTTTGATGCGATTTATCGGCGATTTGTGACTAAAAAGCGATACATCTCCTACAACTCGCCATACAAATCGCTATCAAAATCGCCGTGAAATCGCAGGTAGTTTACACTTGCGCGATAAATCGCCGCTAAATTGCATCAAAAATCGCATGTGTAAACGGGCCTTTAGGGGTTCTTTTCAAAATTTCTGACGATCACCCCGTCACTTTTATATGGGAGTCCCCCCCCCCCCCCCCTCCCCCACAAAAAAAAAACAGTCAGACAGATTAAAGTTATTTTTATTACTTTATATTAACCTGACTTGCCGGATTTTCTAACGCAAAAAGATAAGGAACAGTGGTCGAACAAAAAGGTAATCACATTTGATTATGGAAAACCTTTGTTTGTTATTTTCGTAAATTCAAACCGGTTATTAGTTTCCGTTACCCGGTGGCTTCCCGCTTTCTCCAACATACCCCTATTGATCCCATTATTCCATTCCCCTTAATCCGACCTATCAATCCCCTTTCTATTATTCCTGTGTTCACTTTACCCAGCGCCCCTCACTTCAACACTCCCCATTTTCCCTTACTCGGGCCAGGCCCCGTGCTCTAACCCTCCTATTATTCACTCATCCCTTACACCAGCCTCCCCCTAATTCCACAATCCCCTCTAATTCCCAAGTTTCCATCTTCCTTTCCCCTCCCCCTATTGTTCCCCTGTCTCCTCGCCCCCCTCTAACTCCATTTTCCCCCTACTTCACGGTTTTTTTTTCCATCGTGTACTCCAATTCCCCTCGAACCTCCCCCTAGAACTATGACCCACTCTCCCTTCAATTACTGG